CGCCACGCCGCCGCCCCCTCTCCAGCTCGGAGCCCCGCCGCAGGGCACTTCAGCGGGCACACCGAGGGGGCGGGCGGAGAGGAAGACAGTGCGTCCTTGGCGAGGCATCCGCTCCCGCGACGCCTCCGAACGCGGCGGCGGCGGGCTAACCCTGGCGGAGATCCTACACTTGAACTACGCAAAAGATGCAGCCCTTTGGGTAGTATAACGTGACCTAAGCTGAACCGTCGGGGATCTCCGGGCGGGAGAGGACTTTCCATTTTCCACCCACCCCTCTGATCTCTGGGGGCTGGCAGCAGGGCCTCGTTTAAGTCGATGAAAGTCAGGCGAGCCGCAGAGCTGCCCAGGCCGCCGTTTGTGAACTGGGGTGAGAGCAAAGTTTCCTAATCTGTGACTCTGGCCAGCCACTTAGATACAGTGTTTCTCCCGCCGAGGAGGGAGACTTGCCAGCCTGTCGCCCCGCCCAGCTACTTCATCTGACCGTGCGCGGGCCGCCGAGGTCCAGGCGGAGGCCGCAGCCCTGCCCTCCAGCTGGGGCGGGGATGCCCGCGGGGGCGCCAGGCCAGCGGGGACGACGTCGCCGTGTGGAGACTGGCACAGTTCTGCTTTTAGTCACTTAGGCAGAATCAAGAAAGTTAACAAAAACCAAGTATCCTTCCCAGGTGTTTTCCTCCATACACTGCTGAGCTTTTGAAGTTTTAAGAAAAATGAATGGCATGCCAAGGAACGTGCTGGGAACGCTGCGGCCGGACTAAGGTAGCAAAACTCAAGCGGCATCAGCGGGGCAACTGAGACGTGAGGGGCCTGGGAGCACGCNAACTCAAGCGGCATCAGCGGGGCAACTGAGACGCGAGGGGCCTGGGAGCACGCGGGAGCCCGACGGGCCATGGCATGGGCGGACTTACTTTCGAAGGGTGGGGGCCGGATGGACATATATCTTTGCAATGGACCAGTGTCTGAAGGCCATTGTACCGGGCCTCTTCCTACAAAGGACTAACTGGAGAGAAGAGCAATTAGAGGGAAGATAGAGGATCCATCACCCCTGTCAGGATGCAGCTACTGGGTCTAAGAGGAAGGCAGGGATTTGTATGGATTCTTCTAGATAACAGAAGCTTTCTGAAAGTAGGTGCTTCCTCATTCTTATGAAGGTGAAGGTGAAGATCACATGGAGATCCTGAGAAGCCCTAGAAGCACTTCTCCCTGTAGCACATTCCTGTGTGGGTGTTAGGAGGCCTCCAGTTCCTGTCGGCCCCCTTTCCTCTCCCATAAGTTTGGTGGCTATATGTGTATCCTCATGACTAATCTTTGTAACTTTTAAATATTCTCCTTTGCTATCTTGAAATTTCTTGTGGATTGTTCCCGTGTGTATATGGGATGGGGGAGGGCAGAGGACATGCTTCTCAAGCTTCTTTAACACTAAATTTTGTTTTGAAACACAAAGAACAGTTCAACTTTTAAATGCATAATTTGTTTAGCAAAATCTCTTTCATGCTAAGGACTGCTTCAGTGTCAGGAGAACAATAGACTTTCTGAAAAAAACAAGTATGTGCCTGAAGACTGTGTTCCTGTAAATGTGACTCGACAGGTGCTGGGTTTCACACCCTGGAAGTCCCTGGGACAATGCACAAGCCACAGCAGGATGCCCAGAGTATAGTTCCCACTAGCTGTTCTTCTGAACATGCAATTCTTTGTTTTAACACTCTACTAATTAATCAACCTGTTATAGATTGCCTAAATCACTGCTTTCTGAGCTGGGCCCTCGGGCTCCATATGCACGCACACAGGCCCCTCGAGCATTAGGTCCCACTATGCAGGTTGGGTCTCCAAAATCACTCCTCTTTCCACACCAGGCCAGCGAGGAGGCAACGCAGCATGAACAGGTCAGCCACAACCTTCAAAAGAGCTACTGACCTAAATCACCTTTTCCCTGTGCCAAAGGGAAATTGACTATTAATTCAATTGATGACATTGGCTTTTAAACTAATTTTAAACTGATATCATTAATTAACCTTGTCATTTTTCATCTGAGGGGACACCTGACCAGTCATCTACCCCAAACCTCCACCACTAGGGTCCTGACAGGACAAATGCTTCCTAACCTTCACCTGACAGGGTGAGACAAGGCTTCATGCCGCACAGAGTCCCAGCTGCCTTCAAGTACAGGCTTGTGACCCAGGCAATGAGCTGACCGGTTACAAGGCTCTGGGCCCAAGTCAAGGCTCCGGGGCTCTGCCCGGTCTCGGAATTCCCACTGTGCTCTTAGCACACACACGTCCCAACAGAGCTGGAGTATGAGTATCAACTGTTGCCACCTTTTCTCTCTCTCTTTCTAAGAGTCTGACTAGTTCCATGGCTGTTACTGCGTGAAATGAATCAATCTAATGAGTCTAATCCTCGAAACAAAAGCCAGCAGCCTACCAGCTGACCAAGAGAAGCAGCAGAAAGAAGCAGAGGGCAGGGGACAGGACTTGTAGTTCAGACAGTCTCTTTAGCTCTCGGCCAACAGCACAGTCACCTCACTGATAAATCGCCTCAGAGACCCACAGACAGGCTCAAGCACACGTGTTACTCGGCATTAAAACTGCAGCGATCAGTCACCAAGCCGTCATGCCAACCCATTTTGTTATATGCAGAGGCCAGAGGGACCCACCCTGCGCAGAGCAGGCCATTGCTACAGATCAGCCCTCCCGTGGTGTGGCACTGGTTGAACTTGTTGGCTCGTGCTGTTATGAAAGCCAGATGCTTACTTCCCCAAAAGAAAGTTACTTATTTTACATAAAAACAAATGTTTGTAAGTATCAGGAATATTAAAACTAAAACTAACAATATTTGAAATTAGTTTCTAGTTGCATTTTAACTGCATGTTGTGCTTTTTCTCCTGTGCTTTTGAAGTCGCTCCCCCGCCCTGCACTGCTCTGTAACTGACTGTCCAGTTCTGGCCACCACTGCAGAGGCTGGAGGAACTCCCTCGGAGTCTGGGTGTTGAGCGCTGCCTTCCCCCGAGGGTGCTGCGCCAATACCAGTGCAGGGCACGGCTATTACCAGCAATGTGGTGTCCTGTCAATTCCAGGGGTCTCCAGTGCGTGGAGAAGCCGCTGCCAGCGTCGCTCACACACCGAGGCCGGGCGGGCTCCATGCGGAGCGACCGCTGAGAGCCTCTGGAGCACTGACCAGGTGTCCAAGACTGAACTGAACTGTCTAGAAAAGGAGACAATGGGAATACACTGAGAAGTCACATATTTCAACAGTATTAAAAATAACCACCTTGCATTTTAAACAATTTATTGCATAAAATAATGTATGTATCTGAGTATACTTCATGCTACAGTAAAAAAAATTCTAAATTACTGAAGAACTGCGCTGCTGGAGGAAGAGGGTGGCTGTGATACTGGAGGCATAAATGCATGTGTTGGGTTGTTTTTAGTAAAACGGGCAGCCTAAGCTAGCAGAGTAACTCAGCAAGTCAGAAACGCTGGACCTTATATTTCCTCTCTTCCATCCAGAGGTCTCCACGCTTCAGTGACCCACTGCTCTCTGGTGCAAACTCTCACAACAACGACTTTCTTGATTTACCTAAGTCGGCATGTTAGGCTACATCCCCAGACATCTTTCCTTGCACGATTATGGGAAGCGCTCCAGGGTATTCCTTGGGCCTAATAATCCACAGGTGAAAAGACAACATACAGAACGTCACGTAAAACAGTTCCCTCATATATATTTTAAACATTAGGATAGTGCAACTTTTAAAAACACATCATCATCATAACAACACAAATCAACTCCTTGCATTCATCTAACTTCTCCACTTTATACCTTGGCACAAAAAACAGGAATTTTGAATCATATTTTTATAACAAAATAAAAGTTCCACACCTTGGGAGAAAAAGCAAACTGGCCAATTCTTCCCCATGATAATATATAATAATGCTTCCTTCTTTATTTAGTTAATTATAAAACAGGCCATTCTGGCCTCTTTCTCTGCAGTCTCCTTTCATAATTAAATAAATCAAATACCTCTGGGTTTTATTTCATGATATCTTCAAAGCGTCCCTTTCTCTGTGCTCCCACGCCCACCCTTTGCCAAAACCATCCCGCCCCCCTCCCCAATGCCTGCCCCCAAATAAACACTGTTTACGGTCAGACCGGATGGAAGTTTGTATTATTTCAGTTCTGGTTTGCATGCAATTCCCCTGAAAGGAATCAGAAACAAAGACCACATTTGCACATTTGGTTTTACTTCGCTGCCGCACGTGGAACTGAACAGCGCTGTGCCGGGGGCGCAGGAGCCGCGCGGCCCTCCTGCCCCGGCGCCGGCCACGGGTCACACGAGGTTCCCGGGCTTCCTGTCTTTGCCCTGCAGCGGCAGCACGGTGGCCGCCGCGCCGTCCTGCTGGAAGGGCAGCCGGCTCCCCCGGTGCGTGCCGCCGTGCTGGTGGTGGAAGAACGAGGCTCCCGGGTAGTGGCCCATCACCTCGCTGTAGGCCGGGGGCGGCCCCTCCATCCTGCCGTTGCTGCTGCAGGTGCTGGCGCTTATGCCCGAGTGGCTGCTGGGCGGGCAGGGGCCCCCGCTGTACACGGAAACGTCTATCCAGTCGCTGTCGAATATGGTCCGGTTGGGCGGGGCCCGCACAGATTCTCGGTTGAGTTCCATCTGCTGTTCAGGGTCCCTGAGCTGCAGGGTGCAGGGCCCCTGGTAGGGAGGCGGCTCCTCCCCGTCGGACAGGGAGATGGTGGGGGGAAGGTCAATCTCGTGCTGCACGTAGGGGTAGGTGGGCTGAAAGCGGCTGAACCGGTCCCTCTGCATAAAGGCCGGGGCGGTAAACCTGTCCCTGGAGCGCGGGGCATACATGATCTGCAAGGAAAAGAGTGACGGGTTGGAAGACATTCTCGGCACAGTAAGGATCCCAAACACGGTGGTATCAAGAGCACTCACACTTGGTCTGCGTTCGCACCTGTCTGAAACGCTTCCCCCTCCGACAAAACAGGAAAAGATCATCCCGGAAAAAACACATAGTTTTCCTGTTCCTCATGAGTTAGACCGCTCACCTTGCCAAAGGATAGATTCTCCAAGATGGCTCAACAGCGGAGAATTGTGGTTAACTGAAAATGTGGATTTCAGGGGAGTTCCTGCCTACGCTCTGTGCACGTTTCCCACTGGGTCAAGTAGGACACAGTAACCTCCAGAGGGCGGTGCCGGGAGCACTGCGCAGGCGGGCTCTGGTCATGTCCACCACACGGCCTGGTCCAGGCCTCCACTCCTTTACATGCGTTCTCCGGGCCCTTCCCGCTCTCCCACCTGATTCAGAAGGGTGGGGAGTGGCTCAGAATTTTCACTGGAAATGTAAGTTATAACCTCACCCGATGGTACTTAGAACAGGTAGGATGCACTGGGCCAATTTATGAATTATCAATAGGAGCTTGTTGCCCTATCAAGTACTCAGACAAATATGGAACAAGTGACTGCTTTTTCTTTCTGGTTTCTAAACCTTTCTAGTCATTTCTTTCTAGACAAGTTTCCTATAGTTTTTTTTAGTAACTGACATGAAAAGTGTTTTGTATTTCAAAGTAAATATGATTACAGATTTTTTTTCCAAAGTGAATTCTTACATAGTCTTCTCATCTATTCCATCATCCATTCTTCTAGAGGAAAGCTAGTGTGTGTGTGTGCGTGTGTGTGTGCGCCTGCGTGCGCATATCCATCCATTGACTTCTCCCATACCATAGTCTTAAATGAAAGGCAAAAAGCTATGTTACTTTTAAGTCATATTATTAAACTTGGAGGTGTAGAAAGGAATCATGTTATATTTATAAACTATGCCCACTTGTGCCTAGCCTCATTGTTAGCAGCTATGGGATCATGTAAAGATCGGTGATTCTTAACCTAGGGAGCTTTTTAGACTAGCACAAATAATCCCTAGGAGATTCTAAAAATCCCTTCCCCCACTTTTAAAAACAAAGTTATAGGTATATGACTTAATTTAAGTGTTATTTCTTTATATTGTCACACATTTGGCTTTTCCACCGATTCTGTTGTAATGGTTTATTTCCCTCTTCCCTTCCCCCATGTACACACAGTTGAACAGCCACCTTCAGCCACCCACACCCTTCCCTTGTTCAACCCCTTACCTCCGAGGCACCTGGCCGAGGACCGGAGCTGTCTGGAGGCCACAGGCGCCCTTCCTGGCAGGGGGTGGGAGGGACATCACAAAAAAATCATTAGTTTCATGCAGCAGCACCTAAAATCAAGGAAACACTTTCCCCTTGGACAGTAGCAGACCTGTTTAAATCACAGAACAATAAAGAACTGGTCCTTTTTCCCCCCACGTAACATCTAAAAGAAGAACTGTGGCCAAAAGGAAAAGTTAGAAATTTTAGGTCTCAACCAGATTTGAAATAGATGGGATTTGAAGTCAAACATCTTTCAAACTATGCACTTGTGTGTTTGACATACATTCCAAATGTCATCAAACCATATTCAGTCACTGCCTAGATTTGGGTAGAGTCTAGGTCCTTCACCTTTTTTTGTTATTTCTCACCCCAGGATATTTTTTCCATTGCTTTTTAGAGAGAGTGGAAGGGAGAAAGGGGGGGGCGGGGAGAGAGAGAGAGACATCATTGTGTGAGAGAGACACATCAATTGGTGGCTTCTTACACATGCCCGGACTGGCCAGGGATCCAACCTGCGCCCTTGACCAGGAATCGAATCCGTGACCCTCTGGTGCTCGGGCCGATGCTCTAACCATTGAGACACACCAGCCAGGGTTGGGTGCTTAAGCTCTTAAGCAAATGTGCATGACCATAGCCGGTGTGTGCCAGCCAAGGCGCTTCTAAACTGGGACTGGGCTTTGAGGTGAGCAGCGGCACAAGTAAAGCACTGACAGTCACACTGTGCTTTCAAACTGAAAATGGAGTTTCCGAAGCCTGACTGTTCGAGAGTCTTCTAGTCCCTTTATTCCTAAGGTAGATGTAACTTGGCATCTCGTTGTTTAACATCTTTTTTCAAAAATGTTTGCCCAGACTGTCAAGGTGACAAGCTTTTCTAACACCATAAACTTGTTTACAAAGTACTTCAATATGCTTTCCCTTTTGAACCCAAATTGTTGGCTACTAGCAAAGGTCTGTTGGGCTATTAGCCAAAGGTCTATTATTGTAATAAAAAGAAGAACTGTGGGGAGCAGGAGCAGATGTCTGCATTTTTGGATTCCCAAGAATATTCATACATGACCTTGTACAATTACTGAGCCTCCTGAGACCCTGAATGTACCCACAAGTAGACCTGCAAGGTAAAACACCCCTAAGTCTCTCTTGCTCTCTTCTGTAGGCCAGCATTCTAATACAAATACCCCATTTGGACAACAAGTGTTTGTCCAACACATACAACCTGACCCTAAGATACCCGCAGGATATCATGGACTCAGCAGCACAAATAGGAACAGACCCAGCAGCGTTTAGAGGAAGTTTGGGCTTAAGGTGTGACTATAAAATTATGTAATGGCCATTACGGCTCTGGCCTGGTGACAGGTGACAGATCTAATTGACTCTAATGAAGTGGCTGACCCACACCCACCGGTAGCCCTTCACCAGGCCGAGGCAGCCTGCGCAGTACTTCAGAGCAAGTGTGCCCCCGGATCAAAGTGAAACAATCACTGTAGCTCTGGGTTGTTATGGCAACTCTCCTACTGAAAACAGCACGGAAACTCATCCTGGGATGTTTCTAAGACTCACAATTCTGCCCTAGCTCCTCTCCCTTCCTTCAGCGAGAGCTCGGCCCCTCCTGCCCACCTCACTGATGTCAGCTCTAACCTTCCGTCCAGAGAGCTGGCACCAGGCAGCCGCGGTGCCAGTGCGGACTGAAGCACAGCGCGGGAACGGAATGGCCAGAAAGAAAACCCCCGAATGAAGTGAGAGGGAAGTGACCCAGAAACAGGGGGTGGCATGGTTTCTGAAAGTGGCCATAACCATCCTTAATGGTTTATTCCCCTAGAAAGTAGCAAAACTGGAAAAATGCCTAAAGAGATTAAGCCTTGTGTACACTCAGTCTTATATTTCACCAAATTCACCTCCTTCTTATTAAAATCATTCAGTTCCTGGCCGGTTTAGCTCAGTGGTCAGAGCATCAGCCTGCACAGACTGAAGGGTCCCGGGTTCGATTCTGACCAAGGGCACGCACCTTGGTTGCAGGCTTGATCCCCAGCCTGGTTGGGGCACGTGTGGGAGGCTACCAATCTATGTATCTCTCTCACATTGATGTTTCTATCTTTTTCTCTCTCTCTCCCCCTTCCACTCTCTCTGAAAAGCAATGGGAAAAATACCCTCGGGTGAAGATTAATAAAAAAATAATTCAGTACTTTTGGGCCCTCCTCTCACCTGGATCCCAGCAGCACTGGACCCTCCCTTGTTGGCTCAGAGACATCACCCCTCCTGGTTCATACCCTGACTTCTCTGGCCACTTTTCCTGCTCTTTGGGGGAGGTGCCCCGAACTCTGTACTTTGGTTGAATGTTGGAGTTCCTCAGAACCCTGTCTGGAGCCCCTCTCCTCTCAGCCCAGTTTCCCAGCCGCCTCATTCCCTCCACAGCTTACAGGGCCACCCATATGGGTATGCGTCTATCTCTGGCTCCACTTTGTCTCATGAGCTCCAGGAGCATCTAACCGTGGGGGCCTGCCTCCTGGACTCCAACAGACTCCTAAACCTACACATGTCTGAGGCAGAACTCACTGACTTCTCCCCAAACCTCTCATTCCTCTGGACTACTGTGGTCTCCAACTCACTACTCTTCCTCACCCCCATTGCCACCACTACTANCACTGACTTCTCCCCAAACCTCTCATTCCTCTGGACTGCTGTGGTCTCCAACTCACTACTCTTCCTCACACCCATTGCCACCACTACTGTTTTAATAATGATGTAATTTATTTAACTCTTCACTGACAATTGCCCCCTCCTCCAATTTATTCATGTTTTATAGGACACTGATTTTTCAGGTCTTTCACCCATGTGGTTCCCAAGAGTTGTTAAAACTATAAGATCTATAAGATGCCATGGTGGAACGGGTTAATGCCAACAGCCCAGAAAGCTGTCCTTCCAGTTCTGTGCCCAGTGCTGATATGTAAAGAATCCAGACATGGAATAGGACCAGAATTCCAGAAAGGCTGGATCCTGGTCGCCTTGATGGAAAGAGAGCTGCTTCGCACTGGCACTCACGCCACAACCTGCTCCGGCCACTCCTGTCTGGGCTATCCTGCGCCGCCCAAGGTCAGGCCGCCCTCATTAGCACGCTGCTGGCGGAGTCCCTGATTCTTGCTCTCCTTGGTGAGATGAAGTCTTTTGATTATGAGCTGACTCCTCCAAGGAGTCAGCCTTGTAACATAACTGAGTTCAAAGATGTGGGCCTTCTTGTCTAGACCTCTCAGTTTTTTCATCCAAATCCTAGTGATGACATTGTCAGGGAGAAGGGGACTCATCACATGGCTGGCATCTGCTCAAATGGCTGCATTTCTGGGTCCTCATTATGGAATTAATTTTTATGTCAACAATGAAGGTTCTAATGTTCTTGGCTAGTGCTTGTATTGTTACATTATGTCATACTTAGAATAAGCTGTGAAATAAGATAATACTTCAAGTAGTTCACACAGAATTTTGAGCAATAGGAACAAAGTTTTGCTAATATTTTTACACAGGCTTAAATTCATTCCCTCTCTTACAGCTGTTTCCTTGTAAGAATGCCCACCAAAAGGAAGGGAAGGGTCCACTGTCCACTCGTCACTCCTCTAGACATCTACTGAGTGCTTCCCAGCAGCGGATCTCAATGCTTTTCCATTGCAACACGTGAGATAACCTAACAGGTGCGGTGCCACACCTTCCCACGGGGTAGGTGGTAGGGGTGGAGCAGGGAGTCCATACAATCCCCAGGATTAAGCTGTCACTCCGACCCCTTCGGCCCACTCAATAAAGACTTCTGGGATGCAAGTGAGTTAGCGAGACATTACTCTAGAGGTTACTTTGAGTCAATTCTAGTCTATTTTTTAAGGTATATTATTTTAAAATTACTCATGTTGTATCTATTATTAGAACCACTTACTTGAGACACACATTAAACTGATCAGGACACACAGGGGACTGTCACACCTACTCCAGGAAGTTTACAAGAGGGCATCCAATCTCAGGGGTAAAAGAAGAGGGCCTCACAGCCCTCTCTGTACATGCAGTGCCTGGCATGCAATGTTTTTTATTCTCTAGTTTTCTCTTTGCAACAAAGGTTCTGTAACAAGAAAGGTAATGGCCGAATAGCTGGTGACAACTTAATATTACCCAGATGGATAATATCAACACAACGTGGACCTGTAAAGGCAAATGGATCCTGAGCTGGGAAAGCCCTAGGCCAGAATCCTGGAGCCGCTCTTCAACCTGCAACCTCAGGCAGCTTATTTTCTCCAAACCTCATTTTCATTACTTGTTGTGAGGCTCAAGTACAACAATGCATGTACATTCCTTAGCACACGGCCTTGCACACGAGTATGCAGTATATGGTAGCTCTTAACATTATGCGTAACGATTACTGCTGTTATACACAACTGAAGTGGGGATAATTTTCAGTTATCTTTTAAAATAATGAGTTTGCTGGAATTTCCTTCTTGGTCTCTTTGTTTGCAATATCGTCTATTCGAACAGTGGTATTCTGAATGGAAAGGCTGAAAGCATGGGAGAGGCTTAAGCGAAGGTGCATTTATCTCAGATTTCTTCAGGACCTCGCTCCTAGGGTGGGGAGCCGATTCCTAGAACGGGTATTACCCATGAGACTCTTCACGGAAAGTTCTCCCCCAGGGCTTCTCAGGTGCCACAAAGGACTAAGGCCTGCCGCTGTGTAATGACTCTCTGTGCTTTTAAGTCATGAGCTCAGCCTGGCAGTTCTCTTTCCATCCACTGCAGGAATCACCACGAGTGCAGACATAAGCAGAGGCTCCCTACGCCATGCACGGCTGCTTCTAATGGCATGAGGCGAAGGCAGGGAGGCAGGAGGCAGGTTTAAAGAAACAACTTTGGAACATTCAATTTTGTGATAAGCTTTTATTTTCTCTTGGATCTTCTTTTATTTCCTAAAATAAAATCTTTATGGTTAATGAAGACATTGCTATTTGTCATTTTCCTGCTAATTTAGCCACGGTCAGGCACTCACTCGT